TGCCTATTAAAAGCGAATGCGCTTTTATCTGGAGCAATGCGCTTATGGCCGATCCTCATTTAGAAGCGCACCCCTTATGAAATCGTTACTTATTATAAGCGCACCCTTGCAGTAAAAACAAAAAAAATTACCCATGAATTCTTTTCATTTTTGTTAGAGCTAAAGCAAGGCAAGCATTCATTAGTTTTAATATTGCACTAGCTACAAATTTCACATAGGGTGACTATTGTCCTAGCCTAAACAACATCATATTGCCTAGTCTAGCCTTAGGCCTGCTCTACCTCTTCGTCAGATTCGGGCTCCGTGGCGTTATTGCCCCAGAACCCGTCTGCTTGGATGTCGTCGTCTACCTCTACCTCGTGGCTCAGCTGGCTTCTCCAGTGCGCCATCGCGAGATGGTCTTCGCTCCCGTCAAGGGCATTGCTGATGCCGCATGTGAGGAAGGCCTTCTTAATCAGGTCGGCGGGCACGGCCTTCCACGCCCGTGAAATCCACTTAAGCACCACCGCCGGGGGTGGTTTCTTGATGTTCCCTGCACCACAGGAAAGGGAGTGGGGAACACGTTAGTCCACAAGCAGGCAGACAAGCACAAGAAGGGGAGACGGGAGGACATGTCATCGCTCACCTGCAGGTGTCAGAATGTTCATGCCGTCCGCCTCAAACCAGGACTGGTACTGCTGGCGAACACTAGCTTTGAAGCTCTTGTTCACCGACACATCGAGCGGCTGGACGTCTGCCATGCACCCCGCCGGGATGACCGCCAGCACGATGTTGAGCGCCGCGAATCTCGCCTTGACTTCCTTGGTAAGGTGACCACGGTAGGAGTCGAGTAGTAGCATGGCGCTCCGACTCTGCACGCCGAATTTCGGCTTCAGGAACGGCACCACGCCCTCATCGAGCCACTGGATGACGCCCGTGGCCTCCATCCACCCGTTTGCTTGGCAGCCGACCACGACATCTGCACACAAGCAACCGGGGGTTATATTTCTTTACGGTATTGTTATGAATGTTATAAACAAGCACACGAACATGTGCTTACCGTTGGGAAAGTCGCCCTTCGGCAGTGTTTTGCGCTTGAAGAACACCCACGGCTTCAACTTCTCGCCCGTCGCCGTGCACGCCAGCATCACGGTGACTCGTTCCTTCTGGTAACCACCGCTACGGATGGGCACCGACTTCACGCCCGTCTGCTCCACGGTGGTAGTGTTAAGATGAGAGGAGCCATGGATGGCGAGAGAGTTAGGTAGGGTCGAAAAAGTTGCACTAGGAAGAAAATGTCGAGATACAAAAGAGAGAGGGTTGGAAACCCTAATTGAACCTAGGGTGTGTTCGGTTTGTACTAAGAACTACGAAATGAGCCTAAAATGAACCTGAATGCGTAACTCTCTCTAAGCATGGAGAAATAATATAAAAACACCAAAATAAAGACCAGAGCGAGCTCTAGCCTACTCCAACACACCCCCAGGCTAGGTGAAGCTCTGGAGCAAAACACCTAGCGAACCGACACACCCCCAGAAGTGGAGAGACGCGTGAGCCCAAGCTCGCGCACGTAGAAACGGTGTGGCGCACGCAGGAGGGCCTTGGTGAAAATGTCAGCAAGGTTGGCAGCAGCGTCCACCTTGCGAAGACGTAAGAAGCCAGACTGCACCAGCTCGCGCACGAAAAAATAGCGGACCTCAATATGCTTGCTGCGGGCGTGATAGACAGGATTTTCATTGAGATGAATCATGCTCGCACTGTCACAGGAGAGCGTCACAGAGGTCTGAGAGTGACCAAGCTCAGCAAGGAGAAATGAGAGCCAGCGAGCCTCCTGAGCTGCCAAGGTGCCTGCGTACAACTCAGCCTCACAGGTGGAAAGGCAGACAGAGGATGAGCGAGTGGAGCGCCAGCTGATGAGACCACTGCCAAGAGTAAAACCATAGCCCTGAGATGAGCGGCGATCAGGGCGAGAGTCGGCGTAGGAAGAGTCACTGTAGCCGGAGAGAATGGGAGGAACAGAGCCACCAAGAGTGAGAGCAAGGACAGAGGTTGTGCGCAGATAGCGCAGGACGCGCTTAGCAGCCGCCCAGTGCACGTCAGTGTGGCGGCCTAGACCGACAAAGCGAGAGAGAACACTGAGGGGGTAAGCAAGGTCGGGGCGAGTGCACATCATAGCATACATAAGAGACCCAACGAGCTCAGGATAAGGCCGCAGCTCAGAGGAGGGAGCAGGGACGACAGGGGCAGTGAGCTGATGGTTAGCGGGAAGAGGGGTGGAGACCGGCTTGGCCTGCGACATCTCGAACCGCTGGAGGATGGACTGGATGTAGAAAGACTGGGAGAGAGAGATGGTGCGAGCAGCACGATCACAACGGATCTCCATGCCGAGGTAGTGACGAAGCTCGCCAAGATCCTTGCACAGGAGACGCGCCTGCAGGGCTTTCTTGACAGCAGCAAGATCGGCGGAGTCCTCAGCAAGCAGCACCAAATCGTCCACGTAGGCAAGAATGTAGAGTCTGTGGGGGGAAGTGCGAATGAAAAGACTGGGGTCGGAGGTGGAGGTAGAGAAGCCAAGAGAGTGAAGGGTGGAGGCGAGCTTGGCGTGCCACTCGCGCGGGGCCTGTTTAAGGCCATACACAGGTCGCTTTAATTCCCAAACAGTGCCTGGAGGGAAAGGGCGAGGAAAGCCAGCAGGACGCTCAAGGAATATGCGCTCATGCAGCTCGCCCTGAAGGAAAGCATTGGAAACGTCCATGGAATGGATCTCCCAATTCCAGCGAGCACCTAAGTCAAGAAGGAGGCGGAGAGTGGGGAGACGGGCTGTGGGGGAGTAAGTGGCAAAGTAGTCAATGCCTTCACGCTGAGTGAAGCCCTTGGCACAGTAGCGGGCTTTGAAGACAGGAAGTTCGCCGGGCAGCTGCTTGACACGGAAGACCCATTTGCCCTTGACAATGGTGGCGCCAGGGGGGGGGACAGAGTCAATGTAGGAATTAGTTCTGGTAAATGCCTCACACTCAGCAATGATGGCAGCCATCCACTCAGTGGCATGAAAGCCCGACACGGCCTCGGAGTAGGACTGAGGGGTGGGAATGGCAGCGGTGTCAACAGAGAGAAGAGTGGGAGAATTGCTAAAGTCACCGACAGTGACACATAGGAGAGGAGAAACAGGATGAATTGTGAAAAGTTCCTCAAAGCGATCTTCAAGAAGATTCACATCCTGGGATGGAGATAGACGAGTGAAAAGGGCAGAGTGCTGAAAATTAGAAAGGGCGCGAGTCATGGAGCGAGTAAGGCGCGGGGAAGGGGGAGGGATGGGAACGGGCGAAGGGGGTTGAGAGGAAGATGGAGGTGAGGAAGGGAGGGGAGCCGAAGAAGAAGAGGCGGGTGGGGAGGCGCCAGAGATGATGTCGGAAGGGGGGGCAGTAGAGGCTGGTGCGGGGGGAGGGGCGGGAAGAGGCGGGATGGGAGGGGGGGGAGGAGGGGAGGGGAGGACAGACGACGGTTGATCGAAATCAGACCAGTGAAGAGAAGGGACAGGAGGGGCGGGTGGGGGAGAATGGAATGGAGAGTGGGTCTCATCGAAAATGACGTCCTGGCTGCGGATGAGTTGGTGAGAGGAGGGGGCGTAGAAAAGATAACCAGGACAATCAGAGTTGATGCCAAGGAATGCACAGAGTTGCGTCTTGGGAGCGAGCTTCCCACCCTGACGAGATCGGTCTGTTGGATTTACAAGAACATGGGCGACACACCCCCATACCCGAAGAGGGCGGACAGAGGGTTGTCGGCCAGTCCAGAGCTGGAAGGGGGTGGTAGTGGGGCGAAGAGGATGAGGGCGGAGGTTAGAGAGTAAAGTGGCATGGAGAAGAGCATAGCTCCAAAGAGAGTGGGGAGCAGAGGCATGGGTGAGAAGGCAGCGAGTAATTTCCATGAGAGTGCGATTGCGACGCTCAGCAACCCCATTCTGCTCTGGGGAGTGAGGAAGAGTTGGGGTCTGGCGAATGCCATGAGAGGCACAGTAAGAGGAGAGGGAGTGATTAAAGAATTCGCCACCACCATCGGAATGGAAGCGCGCGACAAGACGCTTAAAACGTAGACGGGCCTGCTCAGCCCAGCGAATGATGAGGGAGGGAGCGTCAGATTTGGCACGGAGGGGATAGACAGTTGCAAAGCGTGAGTGGACATCAACCAAAAGCAGAAAATATCGATGACCCTGACGAGAAGCAGTAGGTGAGGGACCCCAGAGGTCCATATGAACAAGGTCAAGGGGTTGGGGAGAGGCAGAGGGAGAAGAGGGATGAGGTGACTGGGAGAGTTTGGCCTGGACACATGGGGTGCATGGAGGAGCAGGAGAGGGAGGAAGGGGGGGGAGAGAGGGAGGGAGGCCATGAAGAAGCTTAGAAGAGACCATACTGCGAAGAAGGGGAAAGTTGGGGTGGCCAAGTCGATGATGAAGGAGAAGGGTAGGTTGAGTAAGAGAGCGACAGTCGCAGGAGGGAACGGAAGGGGCGGAAGCGGAAGAGGCATGATGGGCAGAAGGGGGAAGAGAGACACGAAGAGTGTAGAGGCGAGTGATAGGAGAAAGAGTGAAGCGTGCAAGATGGCGGTTGCGGTGATAGAGATCACAGTAGGAGTCACATTCAGGAAAGATAGCTCGCACACAAAGACGTTGAAGAGCAGAGAGAGAAAGAAGGTTGTGGCGGCATGAAGGAACATAGAGGCCAGTCACAGCACCAGAGGGGGAGGCAGGACAGGGAAGAGAAGAGGTAGCGGTGCAAGTCATGGTCATGGTATCCCCAGCCCCTTGAATGGAGAGAGGACGGGGAAAAGAGCGAATCACACCAGCATCACGAAAGACAGAGTCAGTAGCACCACTGTCAAGAACAAACTCAAGAGTGCGAGGGAGGGAAAGAGCAGCAGCTGTGGGACCAAGATACTGAGAATCATTGCCATTAACAGAAGGAGCGAACATCATGGCAAAACGAGGGTCCATAAGGGGAGAAGCCCCCAGAATGCTATCCTGACTAGGCATAGTCACACTGAGAGCAGAGGTCTGGGCACCTGCACCAGAGTCGGCGGCCGCAAGGACCGCCTGAGCAGAGGAGTGGCGACGCTGACGAGAGAGTTGGAGCCAGTTGGGAGGGCGGCCAATGTTGCCAGCTAGGAACCAGTCATCGGTGAGCTTCTGGAAGCAGGAGGAGGTGGGATGATTGGTGCGACCGCAGGGCTGACCCTTGCGGGGCCCCTGGCGAATGATGTAGGTGCAAGGAGGAAAGGTGTTGCGAGGGCGAGAGGAAGCAGCGGCGGCAGTGGTGGTGGAGAGAGGAGGAGGGGCAGAAGAGGGTGTGACAGCAGCGGCAGTAGGAGGGCAGCTGCGGAGGTTGAGCTCAGCCTGGAGGAGGAAGGCAGAGACACGGGAGAACGACCACTGGTCGGCGGGGCGCTCACCATACAAGGTGACATGCATACTGTATTCAGGAGTGAGGCCTGTGAGGAGGAGGGCACCGCAGACATGATCGGAAAGTTCAAACTGTTGAGCGGCAAGTTGGGAGGACAGCGTCTGCACACGATCGATGTAGTCTGCCATGGTGGTGAAGTCAGCAAGACGAAGAGAGGTGAGCTCGCGTAAGAGGGCAATGACGCTGATGGAAGTCTGTGACTGAAAGCGCTCGGTGAGATAGCCGAGAAGGTCCTTGGCATAGCGGATGTGCGAGCACTGAGGGAGAAGAGTTGGAGGGAGGCAGGCAAGGATGACCTGACAGGCACGTGCGTTGGCAACATGCCAGTCAGCGAGAAGGTCAGAGTGAGATGGAGCAGAGGAAAGGGGCGTAGAGGCAGAGCGAGGAGAAGGGGCAGCGAGGTGCTCAGTGAGGCGCTTGCGGGTGCTCTCGAGGGACTCAGCAAGAATACGCGCTAAGTCACGGGCAGCAGCATTGTCAGGAGCAGCCGTGGCGGTGGCTTGCGCCGTGGCCACAAGCCGCTCAGTTTCAGCAATGGCAGCACGGAGGCCATCAGCATAGGGGTCAGAGGAGGAAGAGGTGGGTGCAGAGGGAGAAGTAGGAATGGCGCCAGAACCACTCTGCTGAGTGACAAACCAAAGGTTAAAGCCACTCACTAGGGTGCCAGACAGCGTGCGCTCAAGACAGTTCAGCCAACTGGGGAAGTTGACTGCACTGCCATCGGGCGCAAGCTGAAGGACCAGCAGAGGGAGGGAGGGGAGGGCGAGAGAGGTCGCCATGAGGAGGAGGAAACAGCTGCAGAGCAGATGTGGGGAGAGGTATAAGAGGCGGAGGAATAAGGGCGGGGTAGTCTGCTGCTGAGCCGATGCGGGGAGAAACCAGAGGAGGAGGGAAAATGGCGAAGTAGTCTGCTGCTGAGCAGATGAGGGGAGAAACCAGAGGCGGAGGGAAAATGGCGGAGTAGTCTGCTGCTGCGCCGATGAGGGGAGAAACCAGAGGAGGAGGGATAGCGGTGGAGAAGTCCGCTGCTGTGCCGCTGAAGGGAGAAACAAGAGGAGGAGGGAGAATTGTGAAGAGTTTGCAGTTGAGCAGTTGAGAGGAGGATGTTGAGGAGGAGGGAAGGTGTGGAGGAACAACAGCTACACAACACAATCAGCTACCAGCTGCAGCAGATGAAGAGAGGAAAGAGGTGGAGGAGGGGTGAGATAGTGGAGAGGGAACTAGTGGGAGAGAGGAGAGGAGGAGGAGGGTGAAGGGGCGGATTGTGGGAAGGGGAGGGCGCGCCACAAGGAGCTGCGAGCCGCAGCAGATGGGGAGAGAAAATAGGAGGAGGAAGAGGTGAGGTAGTGGGGGGGAGCACAAAGGAGAGAGGGAAGGAGGAGGGTGAGGGAAGGGGCGGATTGAGGAAGGGCAGGGCGCGCCGCAAGGAAGGGCAGGCGTGCGCGCTGCTGGACGGTGCTTAGCGCGCGCGGCTGCGGGAGCGCAATGCGCGCGCGACGGGATGGGGGAAGGGGGGGGACGGCAGAGCGCGCTTTGGGCGGAAATGGGCGCGCGACCGTCAGAAACGGGAGGAGAAGGAGGCGCGACGAATGGGAAGGCGCGGGAGAGTGATAAGGCGGTATGGCGACGCGCTACGGACTGGATTGAGGGATCCGCGAGAGTATAATGTGACAAAAAATGCGATTTTTATGAGTGACGGGAAAGAAAGGAGATAATAAAAAACCGTCTAGCTAAGTAGCGCGGAAATGGCCTAAGGGCCGGAGATTATCTAAGAAATACGGATAAGTATGAAACGCCTAGGACTACGCTCTGAATACCATGTTAAGATGAGAGGAGCCATGGATGGCGAGAGAGTTAGGTAGGGTCGAAAAAGTTGCACTAGGAAGAAAATGTCGAGATACAAAAGAGAGAGGGTTGGAAACCCTAATTGAACCTAGGGTGTGTTCGGTTTGTACTAAGAACTACGAAATGAGCCTAAAATGAACCTGAATGCGTAACTCTCTCTAAGCATGGAGAAATAATATAAGAACACCAAAATAAAGACCAGAGCGAGCTCTAGCCTACTCCAACAGGTAGTGGCCAGCATCTCCAACCATAGGGGCGTCTGGTCGGCGTTGATTATGTACCGATTGTCGATCGCGTACTCGCTGCGTGCGTCGCGGACAAACTGCCAAAATTCGTTGCACTGCGTCGCCACGTCTGTGCACGGGGAGGGAAGGACAGATAGCAAGAAGGATGAGTACCGCAGCAAATACTAATAAACCATGCGAATTCGCGCGCGGTAACCTGAAAAAAGGCACTTACGTTCCTGTGTTTTCTGGGCCACCTTAGTTTTCATGCGCACGCTGAGGTTCCACCGCTTGCAGAACCGCTCCGACCACCGCTGACTCCCTTTCCACTTGACTTCCGAGAACAGCACCTTCATCACCTCGCGTGACCAATCTTGAAGCCGGCCGACTGAAACTGCAACACCGCGGCGTCGCCAGTCGAGGAGTTGTGCGTACACTTTCAACTCCATGGGTCTGTACCAAGAAGACCTCCCGCGCCCATGAAGTCGACATCGTGCGGCGTGTGAAGCCTTGAGCTCCTCCGCTTGGGTTTTCCACTCCGTCATTTGCGGTGTATGCCGGACTCCCGCGCGACCTCGCTTATCGATGCCACCAGCTCCAGCCGCACGAGCCACCTTAGTTTCTCCTGGGCGGTGTAGGACTGCCGCTTATGTTGAGACGGACTCGATCTGACGCGCCGCTCGCACGAATATAAGACCCCCCCGCCCCATATTCACCCTTAATAACAGATTCATAGTTGATAAATAAGTGTACCCGGGACTTAAAAAATTCCTGCCACCTAAATGTTCACCTTAGGTTTTTTGTGTGAAAATGTAGAGAGTCCCCCAGGTCCTATAGCCGGCATTTATACGGTATGAGAAAAAAAAAATGTGAAACAAAAAAACCACTGACACATCCACATTCCACACACACCCGGTAGACTCCAACTGTAGACACATTTCTATACACAACATCAAGTAAACCCCTACAAAGCCTCGTCAACGGGCATACCACCCGCATCACTAGCAGCTGCCAAAGCATCAGCCAGCAGATCCGATGTACCGGTATCTGCATCATCCACTGCAGGCTCCTCAATCGGCAATAATCCAGCACTGTTACCACCACCATCTGCACCATTCGTATCAACAGCTGCCGTTGCACTGCCAACGCCATCAGCAGCAGCAGGGGCACCAGCAGCAGAGGCAGCGGCAGCACCAGTATCAGCAGCACCAGCAGCACCAGAACCAGCACCAGCACCAGCGGCAGCAGTAGGGGGGCCGAGGCTGGCACTGCTTCCGAGGTTGGCCCGTGCTCGAAGCTCATCGAATGCTCGCATGCTGTCTGCGTCAAACCCTCCTGCGAACTGCACACAACGGGAAAATAGTGAAAGGCAGGCGAGACAGAGGGTAGAAACAGCACGGGTTGTGAGCCGTCTCAACACTGGAGGTTGGCTCAAGCCGAAGCTCGTCGAATGCACGCATGCTGTCTGCGTCAAACCCTCCTGCGAACTGCACACAACGGGAAAGGCAGGCAACGGTAGAGAAAGGGAAAGGCAGGCATGCAACAGCAGCGGGGAGAAACAGCACGGGTTGTGAGACGCCTCAACACTACAAATCGACTCGTGCCCAAAGCTCATCAAACGCCCGCATGCTGTCTGCATCAAACCCTCCCGCAAACTGCACACAATCGGTAATGGAGGGCGCCAGCAGCAGTGGGGTAAAAAAGAAGGTGAAATGGAGATGACAGGGAGTGTTTTACGATGCACTGCATAAACGGTCATGACAGGTGGGAAGTGGGGACAAAGAGCAGGTGAACTGGAGATCAATGTGTTGTAAGGGAAGGAGGTGTGCGTGGGCATGGGCAGGATCCGAATACGCATGCTGTTTAGAGGAGACAGTAACATTGAGTGTAACAACACGAGGTGGTAACTGCATGCGGTGGTAACAGCATGCAATGGTAACTGCATGTGGTGGTAACAGCATGCAATGGTAACTGCATGCGGTGGTAACAGCATGCAATGGTAATTGCAAGCGGTGGTAACAGCATGCAATGGTAACTGCAAGTGGTGGTAACAGCATGCAATGGTAACTGCACGCGGTGGTAACAGCACGAGGTGGATTGGGAGTGGATTGGGAGTGGATTGGGATGTGAGAGGGAATGGATGTTGAGTGGATGGTGTGTTCGAAGAGAATAGAGCAGCAGGAGGCTTGAAGCTGGCAAATCGCACCTGGTGGGTGCGGAAAGCGAATCGCACGGCCTGCAGCAGCAGGAACTCGCGAATGGGCTCACTCTCGGGCTCGCTGCCCAGCTTGTCGAGCTCTGATGTGACCCGCGTTATGTAGCAGCGGGCCAGACGGACTGATGCCAGACGGATCTGAGTTGAGGCAGGAGATGGGAGAGGATAGGAGGGGAAGAGGAGGGAGGTGGGGTTAGCATACAGGCTCGCTCTCAGGCTCGCTGCCCAGCTTGTCCAACTCTGATGTGACCCGCGTTGTGTAGCAGCATGCCAGCCGCACCAATGCCAGACAAACTCTCTGTTGCAGTAGGGAAGGGGAGGGGAGGGGAGAGGAGGGGAGAGGAGGGGAGGGAGGTAGATGATGAGCAGGTGGGCTCGTTCTCTCCCCAGCTTGTTAAGTTCTGATTTAAGTTTTGACTGTTAAGTTCTGATTGTTAAGTTTTGATTGTTAAGTTCTGATTGTTAAGTTCTGATTATTAAGTTCTGATTGTTAAGTTTGGATTGTTAAGTTCTGATTGTGAAGTTTTGATTGTTAAGTTCTGATTGTTAAGTTTTGATTGTTAAGTTCTGATTGTTAAGTTTTGATTGTTAAGTTCTGATTGTTAAGTTTGGATTGTTAAGGGCGTGTAACCATTTTGCCATTTTGTGTTTTTGCGGACAGTCCGTTTTTTTTCATTCGGACGGTCCTAATCGACGGTTAGGACCGTCCAAATCGACGGTTCGGCACTTTGATACCGTCTGAAGTGGATAGTGACACTTTTTCGAGTCTATTTCAAATTCGCGAGTACTGTAGCATCGCGAGAAGCACTGTACCTCTCGTAACCCAAGTCACGCTTTTCGCTATTTTCGCGTAAACCCCTTCGCGCTATGTTTGAACATTTGACGACGCGACTCGAAATGTGTAATTTGTTTAGATTTCGCCCGCCAATCTTGTGCAAGGACATTCGGACGGTCCGAATGTGTTTCGGATTGTCCGCTTCTGACATTTCGAACCGTTGAAGTCTGGAAAAAGTGTCTCTACCGTCCGAGTTTTTTGCGACGTCGCAAAGGTACAAGCGAACAGCCTAACGAGAAAATGCGAGACTGGTAACCCTTCGCTACCCGGACGGTCCACAATTCGGACCGTCCGGGCCAAAAAGTGGCAAAATGGTTACACGCCCTAAGTTCTGATTGTGAAGTTTTGATTGTTAAGTTCTGATTGTTAAGTTTTGATTGATAAGTTCTGATTGTTATGTTTGGATTGTTAAGTTCTGATTGTTAAGTTTTGATTGTTAAGTTCTGATAGTTAAGTTTTGATTGTTAAGTTCTGATTGTTAAGTTCTCATTTTCTGCTTCACGCCCCCATGGACGTATCTGAGATAGCAACAAAGAGCAGATATATTACCCCCAGCTTACGTTTTGTAGAACGAGGATCGTAGCCAACCATCACGTCCCCTCACCTTGCCCCATCTACCACGTCCCCTCACCTTGCCCCATCTACCACGTCCCCTCACCTTGCCCCATCTACCACGTCCCCTCACCTTGCCCCATCTACCACGTCCCCTCACCTTGCCCCATCTACCACGTCCCCTCACCTTGCCCCATCTACCACGTCCCCTCACCTTGCCCCATCTACCACGTCCCCTCACCTTGCCCCATCTACCACGTCCCCTCACCTTGCCCCATCTACCACGTCCCCTCACCTTGCTCACAAGGCCATTATCAAGAATCCAGTAGGTGGGCACTCCGAACTCAGCGTAGCGTGAGATGGCCAATGAACTCTCTCGTCTTACCTGCTAGTCCATAGCACTGTCATGCATCATCTCACCATCACCTCCCCTAACCATCACCTCACCAGCTGCCCCCCTGCCCTCACCTTGCCCACGAGGCCATTATCAAGAATCCAGTAGGTGGGCACTCCAAACCGAACTCAGCATAGCGTGAGATCGCCATGTGAGCTCTTTCACCCATCTGCCAGTCCCGTACACTGTCAGCATCAGCCCACCACCAATACCCAAGCTCACCTTGCCCACGAGGCCATTATCAAGAATCCAGTAGGTGGGCACTCCAAACTCAGCGTAGCGTGAGATGGCCATGTGAGCTCTCTCACCGTATTGCCAGTCCAGTCCCTGGCAGGCACTGTCAGCACCACCCCACCACCACTGCCCCCACCACCACCTGCCCTCACCTTGCCCACAAGGCCGTTATCGAGGATCCAGTAGGTGGGCACTCCAAACTCAGCGTAGCGTGAGATGGCCATGTCCCTCGTGCGCAGCAGCGCGTATATGCTCTGCTCCACCCTGCACACAGCAAGAGAGCGATACCAGGTGACACAGCACAAAGGGAGGCGTTTGGAAGTATAAACAGCACACCGTGAGATGGCCATGTCCCTCGTGCGCAGCAGCGCGTATATGCTCTGCTCCACCCTGCAATCAAGAGGGGGACATGCGATAGAAGGAGGAACCAGGAGATGAGCACATCAACATATGTTTTTTGAGAATCAGGAGATGAGCACATTCTCAAAAAAACATACGATAGAAGGAGGAACCAGGAGATGAGCTGGCGACATGCGATCAACATTGAGAGACTTGGCGTGAGATGGCCCTGCGCAACAAGCAGGCACCATGTGACACAGGGCGTTTGGGTACCATGAGGAGAGACACAATCTGATGTAATCGTGACTCTCGTGCTCAGCAGCGTGTATGTGCATGCCCCACCTTGCACATACACATACGCGTGTATGTGCATGCCCCACCTTGCACATACACATACGCGTGTATGTGCATGCCCCACCTTGCACATACACATACGCGTGTATGTGCATGCCCCACCTTGCACATACACATACGCGTGTATGTGCATGCCCCACCTTGCACTACAGCAGCACTCACTGCTATCCCGTACTCATGCCACACCCGCTCCTCAAAACCCCCCTCTCTCCCCCCTCGCCTCCCACACCCATCTCACCTTCCCGCACCACGCACCACCACTCACTTCTCCAGAAAGTGGAACATCTTCTTCAAAGCCTGATCGGTGGGCACGTCTGGGTCATCCACATAGGTAGCTGCCCAGATGTCGCCCCAGGCGCAGCAGGTCCTGGAACGCAAAGCACGCCCCGCAACACTGATCCAGCTCCCCACTCCCCCCCATCCCCACTCACTTCTCCAGCACGTGGAACATCTTCTTCAGAGCCTGGTCGGTGGGCACGTCAGGCTTACCTTCTGACTCATCTATTCTCTACTCACCGCTCCCCCCACTCCCCCCCAACCCCACTCACTTCTCCAGCACGTGGAACATCTTCTTCAGAGCCTGGTCGGTGGGCACGTCAGGCTTACCTTCTGACTCATCTATTCTCTACTCACCGCTCCCCCCACTCCCCCCCAACCCCACTCACTTCTCCAGCACGTGGAACATCTTCTTCAGAGCCTGGTCGGTGGGCACGTCAGGGTCATCCACGTAGCTGCCCAGATCGCGCTCCAGCCTCACTAGGTCTTGGAACTCAAACGCTGCCTCCCTCAGCGCGTCTGCCTTGGCCTCGGGCCAGTCAAAGTGCTTCAGCACTGCGCGCTCGTCCACCTGAGGGGGAAAGGTAGGGGAGAATGGATAGAAGAGGGGGAGGGGAGAAGGGAAGAGGATGGGAATGGCCCCTTACTCTATGCGTCCGCCTTGGCCTCGGGCCAGTCAAAGTGCTTCAGCACTGTGCGCTCGTCCACCTATAAGAGGCAGGGGAAAGGGGAAGAGGAGGGGAGAAGCGGAGAAAAGATGGGGAGAGGATGGTTGAAAATGGCCCCTTACTTCACGAGTCCGCCTTGGCCTCGGGCCAGTCAAAGTGCTTCAGCACTGCGCGCTCGTCCACCTTTAGGAGAGGGAATGGGAGGGGGTAAGGGGAGAGAGGATAGATGAGGGAGGGGGAGAGTAAGGGGAGAAGGGGGAGCCGCCTCCCTCAGGGCGTCCGCCTTGGCCTCGGGCCAGTCAAAGTGCTTCAGCACTGCTCGCTCGTCCACCTGGAGGGGTGGTGTGTTGGAGGGGGATGGGGAGTTGGAGGGGGGAAGAGATCAGGGAGGGGAGAGGGAGGGGAGTGCAAGGGGAGAAGGGTAGCTGCCTCCCTCTGTGCGTCTGCCTTGGCCTCGGCCCAGTCAAAGTAAGGAGATCAGCACTGCTAGCTGTTCCACCTGGACGGGTGGTGTGTTGGAGGGGGAAGGGAAGCTTCTAGCAGGTGGGATTGACACTGTCCACTACTAGATACTCCTGGAACCACGGTGGGGGGGGGGGGGGTTGATGCTGCACATTGGAACATACCAAGAAGGCGAGCTCCTCGTCGAGCCAGTTGACGAAGGCCACAACGTCCTCGATGTCAAAGTAAGCTGCGACGTGTTGTTGGCATGAATGAGTAGCACTGCTATATGTTTTACATATGTAGAAAGAGCTTACAGAGAAGGCGAGTCCCTACCAGGAAGGCGAGCTCCTCGTCCAGCCAGTTGACGAACGCCACCACGTCTTCAATGTCAAAGTAGGAGGCGTCGCGCACCTCCCTCGCCAATGTGTTGATTGATAGTGGGGTCCACAGCAGGCCATACGGGGAAGGGCAGCCCCTACCAGAAAGGGCGGCTTAGACCTACCAGGAAGGCGAGCTCCTCGTCCAGCCAGTTGACGAACGCCACCACGTCCTCGATGTCAAAGTATGAGGCGTCGCGCACCTCCCTCGCCAACGTGTTGATGAAGTCGCCCTGCATCTCCACGTCCTGCTTGATCTGTTGGGAGGGGTGGAAACAACGTGGGTGTGGGAGGGGAGGTAAGGGCACGTGAGGGAGGACAAGGAGCGAATGTATGAAGTTGAGGGGACGGCAGATGAGGGAACGAGAAGAGATGGCACATTGAAATGAGAACAGCAGGTAAGTTGAATATATATACATATCTATCCCATGTCGTCACTGGTATGGCGTTTTCCCTTTTATGTTCTCAAGAAACCGCACTTACTGCAAGCAGGTGTGACGAGCGCCCTACAATCTCCCCAATCATATGATCATATCCCCTCTCACTGCAGTCATGCTCAGCCCCTCTCCCCATTCCTCCCCTCCAATGCCTCCGCCCAACCACATCTTTCTTTTTGTTTGTTTTGCCTGAGAAACACACTGAGAGAAAACAGCACTTACAGCGAGCAGGTGAGACGAGCGCCCTTCAATCTCGCCAATCATATCCCCTCTCACAGCCGTCATGCTCAACCCCTCCTCCCCTTCGCTCCCCCCAACCACTGTTTTTGTGTTTCTTTGCTTGACAGCACTTACCGCGAGCAGGTGAGACGAGCGTCCTTCAATCTCGCCAATCATATCCCCTCTCACAGCCGTCATGCTCAACCCCTCCTCCGCTTCCCTCCCCCCAACACCTCCCAGTCCCTCCCTCTGCATCCTCATCAGCTGTTGATAGAACGCCACCACCTCAGGCGCCCTCCTCATCCCCTCATCGTCCATCCCCCCTCTCCCACCCAGTTTTCCTCTGGGCATTGCGGGCGGCAGCGGCGGGCCGCCGGCCGGCGGCAGGGGCGGCGGAAGCGGCACTGCGCCGCCCGCTGCTTTGTTGAGCAGGGCGGCGGCGTGCGTCACTTCCATTTCCTCGTCCAGGTGGCTCGGGCGGGTGGTGCGGGGCCTGGGCGGCGCGGACGGCACTCTCGGCTCGCGCTTCTCCGGGGCGGCGACGCGCGGCGTTTTCCCAACGGACGCGTTGGCCGAAATACCCGATTTTTTCAGGGCAGCCGCAGCTTCGGCCTGTTGGAGGTTAAAAATCTGCCGTTCCTGGGCCAGGAGATGCCGATCCTTGAACCCCGGGAATCGACGGTGCAGATTGTCCTTGTCGGGGCGGGACACGGATCGACGGACGAGATTGAATGAATCCCCGACTGTGAAATCGCCCATGGGATTATTCATCATGCCTGGAGGAGGCTGTTTCATCTTGAGCTTTCGGAGAATCGCCTCCTTCCTCTCCTCATCCTGCCCTCCCTCCCCTCCAAATTCTCCACCCTCTCCTCCTCCGCCTCCTCCTCCGCCTCCTCCTCCTCCTCCTCCTCCTCCTCCTCCTCCTCCTCCTCCTCCTCCTCCTCCTCCTCCTCCTCCTCCTCCTCCTCCTCCTCCTCCTCCTCCTCCTCCGCCTCCTCCTCCTCCTCCTCCCCCTCCTCCTCCTCCTCCGATTCCTCCTCCTCCTCCACCTGTTCCTCTGTGCCGTGCCCTTCGCTCCCCCTCGTATTTGGCTGTGGCCCGAGCAGCAGCATCAGCAACAGCATCAGCACCACCAGCACCAGAACCCCCATCACCAGCACCACCACCACCACCCCCACCAGCAGCAGCAGCAGTATCCTCGAGGTCTCTTGAGGACTTGTTGCGGCGCCAGGAGAGGAAGTTTTTGAGCTTGCTCGCTGCGTCCTGCTGTGACATGGCCTGCAGAGACATCGTCCGCCCAAGTGCATCCTTCCCTCCCCCTGCTCCTCCTCCCACACCCGCACCCCCTCCACCTCCACCACCCTCCCCAAAACCGCCACCACCAGCACCACCACCCACACCAGCGGCCACACCCACGCCCACTCCCCACCCTCCTCCTCTCCCTCCCGTCCCAGGCCCAGGCGTTCTCGCCTTCCTTCCTCCTCCTCCCGCTCCTCCCCCACCAGCAGCGCCCCGCCCATAGCTATCCGGGGAGGAATGGAATGGCTCGTCTGTGGCAGCAGCACTGGCGCGGTCAGGCGAGGAGGCGAAGGAGGCAGAGTCGTTGTAGAGAGAGAGGGAGTCGGAGTCATCGTCGTTGTAACGGCCTGCAGCACCAGCAGCAGAAGGTTCCCCTGTGGGGTAGCCATCGGCAAACTGCTGCATGAGGTGTTTTGCACGGTCCTGAGGGGTGAAGAGAGGAAAAATGGGAAGGAGAGGAGGAAAGGGAAGTGTAAGGGGAAGGTGAGGGACAAACGAGGGGAGATGGTCATGATTAGCAGCAGCACTGGCGCGGTCAGGCGAGGAGGCGAAGGAGGCAGAGTCGTTGTAGAGAGAGAGGGAGTCGGAGTCATCGTCGTTGTAACGGCCACCAGCACCAGAGGGTTCCCCTGTGGGGTAGCCGTCCGCAAACTGCTGCATGAGGTGTTTCGCGCGGTCCTGAGGGGTGGAGAGGGGGAAAAGAGGAAGTGGGGGGAGAGGGGAAGGGGAAGGAAGGAGGGTCATGCAAGCGGAGGTGACTGTAATTAGCAGGAACGCTGGCACGACTAAGCAAGGAGGCGAAGGAGGCACTGCCGGTGTAGAGGTTGAGCCTTAGCCGCGAGCGCAGAGCGGCAAACATACCTGGACTCACATTTCAATGCGCGGGACAGCAGGGCAACAGCAGCAGCCGTACCTGGGAGCGTGGGCTGCGGTTGTTGTTGAGGGTGAGAGCCGAGTCCTTGCCCCCGGCCGCCATGGCCTTGTTGTGCCGCAGCTCAAAGCGCAGACACGCATTCACCCACCGCAGGTACACCACCTCCTCCACCTCGCTGAAGCGACTGTTCTGCAGGCCTTCGACCTGGGGACAGAGAATGCACATGGTATGGGTATGAAGTTGGCTGCTTAGAGTCATGCGCACAGCACGCGTTCACCCACCGCAGGTACACCACTCCCTCCACCTCGCTGAACCAGCTGTTCTGTAAGCCCTCCACCTGGCATGAGAACGAAGGGGGAGAGGAGAATATACAGATAATTACGTGAGAACATGGGAGCGTGGGCAGACATGCATTCACCCACTGCAGGTACACCACCTCCTCCACCTCGCTGAAACGGCTGTTCTGCAAGCCCTCGACCTGGGGAGGTGAGGGGAGGGTGGTCGACAAGATAGAGACAGTACTAAATCCACATGCGCGCATTCACCCACCGCAGGTACACCACCTCCTCCACCTCGCTGAAGCGGCTGTTCTGCAATCCCTCCACCTGGCAAGGACGAATAATTAGGAGCATGTGCATGGCACATATTGACGGTTAAGAGACACATGACTAGCGTTCACCCACCGCAGGTACACCACCTCTTCCACCTCACTGAGCCGACTGGCTTGTAGACCCTCCACCCGCGGTGTGGGTGGCGGCGATAAGACATTCGAGGCATGACGGCTCTGCCGCAATGAAGATGGGTAGCATTACAGTAGCTTACATCCACAAAAGGGAGATGTAGCATGTGTCAAATATAGAAGTTATAAATATATATATATATATTTATAAACTGCCTTAGCTTGGACAGTTAGTGTAGTTACATTGGTGGTGCACCATTTCCTTTGTTCTTTCCTATTTGTACTCTCCATTCTCTAGGGCAACCCCTCTGTTGGCCAACCTTGCTCCAAACCCTCTCGAGATCTCCTCTCCCGTAACTCTCGCCATGCTTCTCCTACCTTCCTAAGTTCTTAGTTCCTAAGCATATTTCGACAGCATGGTCAAGAGGTGGATGGGGAGGTGTGTTGTCTGTGATGTGGTGGTGTGGGTGGGAGATGGTGAGACATTAGAGGAACGAATGCTCTGTTTTTGAGACATCTCAAAAACTCTCTTTTATCACGTGGCTATCTGTTTTTGAGACGTCTCAAAAACTCTCTTTTATCGCATGATCAAGAGGTGGATGGGGAGGTGTGTTGTCTGTGATGTGGTTGTGTGGGTGGGAGATGGTGAGACATTAGAGGAACGAATGCTCTGTTGCCACGGAGGTCAGTAGAGTGACGGCAACATACATACGCAACAGAGAGATCACAGGCATCACAGGCATCACAGGCATCACAGGCATCACAGGCATCACAGGCATCACACCTGTGATGATACAGAAGTGTGTTGCTGTGTTATCCACCTGCATATGCGACAACAGCAACTCAGCCTCCTGAAGATCAGCAAGCCAGGCACGCTCTGCCGCAGCTGAGAAATGCAGAAGAGATGCACCTGTTTTATGATACAGAGGAGATGCAGAAGTGCGACCCACACACACACCTGTCACGTGTAATGAGGTTAATTTTGAGACGTCTCAAAAATGACCTCATTACACGTGGCTTATGACAGAGAGGAGATGCAGAAGTGCGACCCACAGACCCACCTGTCTGAGCAGATCAGCCACTCGCTGCCGCAGCAGCATGGCTTCCATCTGTGCCTTCTTCAGCTGCTGGCTCTGTAGCACAGCACGGCAGGGGGGGGAGGACGAGGGGACAGTGGAAGAGAAGGAGGGGGAGTGAGTGAGAGGAGGACTAAGGGAGGGACAAGAGAGGGAGAGAAGGTAAGTGGGTCAGCCACTTGCTGCCGCAGGAGCATGGCTTCCATCTGCGCCTTCTTCAGCTGCTGGCTGGCTCTGCAACACAGGACGGCAGGGGGAGGGGTGCGAACGAGAGTGGGAGAGGGAGGGGGGAGTGAGTGAGTGGGACAACTTGTTCTAGAACCACATAAAACAGGGTTACCACAGTCCCCCCAGTGGTTCCCTACCTCGGGCGCTATGAGGCGGTCCATGTGCGCCTGTGCCTCTCACACAAGGCAAGGTCACCTAACACACTCCCGTGAATAGGGTTACCCCTGTCGCATAAAACAACGTTACTTAACCCCCATAAAACAGGGTTACCTCGGGCGCTATGAGCCTATCCATGTGCGCCTGTGCCTTTGTTAGTTGCACGCTCATCTTCCTCCTCTGCAGCTGCAGCTCATGGCTGGCCAGTCAAAGCACCATGCACACAGGAGAAATAGGGTTACCACAGCCCCATAAGGTATGGCTACCATACCACACCCCCCCCGGTTACCTACCTCGGGCGCTATGAGGCGGTCCATGTGCGCCTGGGCCTCTGTCAGCTGCAGCTGGTGGTTGGCGCGTCACCCACACAAGATGGATGAAGCTACTACAGCCCCATAAAACAGGGTTACCTACCTCCGGTGCTATGAGGCGGTCCATGTGAGCCTGTGCCTCTGCCAGCTGCACGCTCATCTTCCTCCTCTGCAGCTGCAGCTCATGTCTGGCCGGTCAATGTGTCCACGTGCATCTCCCACACAGGACAAATTGGGTTACCACAGCCCCAAAGAAGGGTTACCACATCACCTAGCAGTTACCTACCTTGGGCGCTATGAGTCTATCCATGTGCGCCTGGGCCTCTGCCAGCTGCACGCTCAAGGCTGGTCACTCGATACACGAGTCCGGGTTACCGATACAGGAAAATTGGGGTTACCACATTAACAATTATTACCTCGGGCGCTATGAGCCTATCCATGTGCGCCTGCGCCTCTGCCAGCTGCACGCTCATCTTCCGCCTCTGCAGCTGCAGCTCGTTGTTCATGCGCCTCGCCTCCACCAGCTCCACCTCCACCTTTTCTTGTGCCTGACAGGGGAGAGAGAGTGCGGGAGAGGACAGAGGAGCAAGGGAACAACCAAGCAACGGGGTGTCGTGAGTCGTCTCACAACACGCAACTCTGCAGCTGTAGCTCGTTGCTCATTTGCGCACCTCCACCAGCTCCACCTCCACCTTCTCCTGCGCCTGCAGGGGGAGAGATGGGGAGGAAGAGGGGGAAGGTGAAGAGAAGGAGAAGATGGTGAGGAAGAGCGAGTCAAAGAGCCTCCACCAGCTCCACCTCCACCTTCTCCTGCGCCTGAGAAGATGGAGGAGGAGGAGGAGGGGCAGAGGGGAAAAAGGATACGGTAGGCATCCTATCCCACCTTCTCCTACGCCTTCTCCCATCTTTGACCAGAATTAATTATCCAACACTTCACTTAATGATTCGTACCCAATACTCTGTGCCACCTCGTGCATCACCCGCAATAACCTCAGCGCCTCTAATTGTGCTTCGCCAGGGCCACAGCCTCTTTGTACATAGCTGCATATCCAAACCTACCCCCCCACCAGCGCCCACCTTGCGCAGGGCCTCCACCTCCTTGTGCTTCGCCAGGGCCAGAGGCACTATGAGCATCAGCCGCATACCTTGCTTGCCCCCTTATTTCCTCCTTGCCCCCACCCCCCTACCAGCGCCCACCTTGCGCAGCGCCTCCACCTCCTTGTGCTTCGCCAAGGCTAGAGCCTCCTTGGCGTTCACCTCCTCCTCACGGGCTTTCAGGGACGCCACCACCTGGGGCGATAGGGAGATGTGAAGGAACCGGGGAATTTACGGCCATGAGAGCAGCTGGTATGCTGAGTGAAAGTGGTTGGAACAGACTGGAGCTAGAGCCTTGATGATTTTTTAGGCGCCTCAAGAATAGACTGGAGCCAAAGCCTTCACTAGCCAGTGGCAAGCAAGCAAGATCCATTTTGAGGGACAAAAGGCTTTTCAAGCGGACCACGAACACCCATAACGGATGAGAGCAGTGACCGTTCATGCAAGGTCTCCAACAACCTCCACTGCTTCTGCAGTTTCGCCGGCACTGGCACCAGGCGCATGGCAGCACACCAGTACCCCTACCTGCTTGTGATCTCTGAGGCGAACCCAAGCCTATCCGCAGCTGCTTCTGCAGGTTCGAGAGCACTAGAGCCAGGCGTATAGCTACTCACCAGGGGTATAGCAGACCACCAGGCGCACAGCAACCCAGCAGCTTGAGTGCGGTGATCTCTGAGGAAGAGCCCGAGCCTATCCGAAACTGCTTCTTTTCATAAGGCAGACATGAACGAAGGGTGCCATGCTATGTCAAGCTACTCACGAAACACACCCATACCTGCTTGAGTGCGGTGATCTCAGATGAAGAGCCTGAGCCAATCCGCAGCTGCTTCTGTCTACGAGACAGACAAGGAAGGAGGATGCCCTGTCCTGTGAAGCCACCCACGAAACACCCATACCTGCTTGAGAGCTGTGATCTCTGATGAAGAGCCCGAGCCTATCCGCAGCTGCTTCTGCAGCTCCCTCTCTCGCGCCCTCAGCTCATTCAGCTGTTGTGTTCGTTTGGGGAATGGGTGGTGTGGGGGGACAATACGAATGGCAGCACCACTTGGGAGTCGACTCAAAAGGGCAAAAATGGCTTGAGGGCGAAAGTCTGATGTCTCAAAGCTCGTGAGGGAGTGGAGGGTGCGGGAGGCAGGAAAAGCAGAGAGAGATTCTTGAGGTGGAAGTGGAGCAGAAAATCTCCCTGCAGAAAGTGCAGCAGAGAAATCTCGTCTCAATCCACAACAACCAACTAACCACTTCTCAACCCCCTCTACTCACCTCCTTCTTGATCTTATCCATTTCCTGCATGTCCAGCGCCCACTGCTGCTTCTGAAACACGCTCTCCGCCATGCCCTTGCGCAGCCGAACCACATCCGCCCGCTCCCTCTCCACCTCCCTCCGCTGCCTCTCCACCTCCTCGCCCCCATACCTCAGCTGCCGCAGCTCCTGTGGGGGAAGGGACAGAGGGGGAAAGACAGGCACGGGCAGGGCAGAGGGTTTGAGGTACCACGAGATGGTTTGGCTGTAGAATCACAGGAAGGCCTTAAAACGCACCACAGCAACTGATTTCCCTCTCCATCTCCTCTCCTCCCACGCGCCCCCACCCTACCTGCATTTCCGCCATGAGCTGCTCGTGCTGCTGCCGCATCTCCTGCACCTCCTGCTTGTACACACACACCCTCACGCACCTACTAATCCCACCGTTACCCGCTCACACACCCGTACATTCACACACGTCCCCACCCTACCTAGAGTTCAGCCATAAGCTGCTCGTGCTGCTGCCGCAGATCACCCACCTACAAAGCCCCACTGACCACCCCCCCCCGGGCACACCCCTTTTTTCACACCTGATGGTCCTGCTGCCGCATATCCTCTGCGTTGCACGGCAGCTCCCACTCACCCCCATACACCTGCGCCTCACACACCTGCGAACCCCCCAACACCCTGCCACACCCCCCCATATCTACACACGCCCCCCCACTCACACCTTCCTGGAGTTCCGCCATGAGGTGCTCGTTCTGCTGCCGCATGTCCTCCACACTGCACCCTCACACACCCCTATAGACAGCCTCACACCTTCAAACCCCTCTACACCTTGCCACACGCCCCCATATCCACACGTGCGCCTACCTGCAGTTCCGCCATGAGCTGCTCGTGCTGCTGCCGCATCTCCTCAGCGCTGCACCCTCACACACACACCTATGCCCTCACAGCACACAGCCTCGCACACCTGCAAACCCCTCCACACCCTGCCACACTCAACCATATTCACACATCCCCACCCCACCTGCAGTTCCGCCATGAGCTGTTCGTGCTGCTGCCGCATCTCCTCTGCGCTGCACTGCAGCTCCCACACCTCCCTTTGATGCTCCTCCGCGCGCACGCGCTGCTGCTCCTCCAGCGCCTCCCGCTCCTGCACCTCCTGCTGCACCCTTGCCTCCACCTCCTCAACCTCCGCCATCACCCGCTCATGCACCTCCCTCTCCACCCTCGCCTTCACCCCCTCTATCTCCCTCGCGTGCGCCTCTTTTAAGGCTTTCTCCTGGGCGGCTAGCAGCTCACGCACTCGCTCCTCCTCCCGCGCTCGCTCCTCCCGCGCGCGCTCGTCTCTCACCCGCTCGTCCAGGTCACCAAGCCCGTTGGGTAGCGCAGCAACGGCTGACGGACCAAAGCTTAAGGCGGAAGGGGAGTCGCCAGGAAGCACGTTCCGGACAGCAGCTTTCCGGCCGTCGAGAGCCAGCTTGGACTCAAAGTCAGACCACACGTCTGGCACGTCCTTGTCTGAAAAGAACTCCTCTCCCGAAGCAGCGCCCTGCTCGTCTCCCGTCCCAATGCCCTGCTCGTCTCCCCACCCTGCGCCCTGCTCGTTTCCAGCCGCAGCGGCTGCAGCGCCCCCCGTGTCTCCTGCAAGTGAATCCATAGCCGTCTCTCCAAAGCCACCACCTTCCGCACTACCTCTGTCACCCCCACCACCGGCAGCAGTAGCACCAGTGCCAGCAGTACCCCCAGTGCCCAAGGGTATGTTTCCATTTTCCCCATCCCCTGCTGCCGATGCTATTGATGCTACTGCCTTTCCATCTGCCAACATCTCAATTCCATCTTCCCCGTCTTCCCCCTCCTCTTGCCCCGGCCTGTCCTTACCCTTCCCCTTCCCCTTCCCTTTCCCCTTCCCCTTCCCTTTCTCCTTGCCTTCCTTCTCCTTCTCCTTATCCTTCTCCTCTTTCTCCTTCTTCTTCTTCCTCTTCTCCTTCCGGTCACTCTTCCTGTCCTTCCTTCCCCTCTCGCCCTCCTCCTCCTCCCCTCTCCCCTCACTTGTTACTACATCCCCCGAACCCCCGTAATAGTCCCTTCCATCTACAGTCACATCTGGGACACCAGCAGCAGCACCACCACCACCAGACGCCCGAACACGCCCTTCCTTGTGTTTGCTCCCTCCCCTTCCCCCTCCCCTCCCCCCTCCCGCTGCTCCCGCTTCCCCTCCTCCTCCTCCTGCTCCTCCCCCCGTTTGAGTCACCCCCGTGATCCCATGCCCTTCCCCGCCTCCCTGACCAAACGTCGCGCCAACTCTCCCATGTGACAATAACGAGCGGTCCCTCTCCTCACCCACGCTCTCCACGTCATTCAGCTCCGGCACTGGCCGCCCCCCCTGCTGCCCTTGCGCCGCCACCTGACACATGCAGCACGGGAGAGGGGCACGCATATATGGCAGAGGAGAAAAAGGGGCAACTTAAGAGCCTGGGCCTGGGCCTCCACCCCCACGCCCAACGTCATTGCCAGTGCCGATACGGTCAGGCAAGTCACGGGTGTGCCTTCGTTTTACTCACATCTTGTTCACGCTGCGACCGTTGCTGCCGCCTCCGCCGCCGCCGCCGTTCCTCTTCCTGTCCTGAAACCGAGATAGACGAAAAAGAAAGGAAGTCCTTATCCAAACTTGCTCTTCTGGGTCGGCAATTCAGGAATGGAGCAGCAAAGTACTGATCCGGGGACATTGTAACTCTGTAACAGTGCAACTCGTGCATGCATTGCCAGTCTAGCTGAACACCCCAGAACATATTTCCGAAGAGCACGAGAGTGAGAGTCTAAGTCGACTGACTCGCAATCGTAATGCGCTCAATTCAATCTATACTCCCAGAAAGACTGGGATTCAAATATAGGTGGAGGATCGGCTGTCGTAGCTCAACTCGCTGACACGCGGAACGGTAACCAGATATGATAACCAGACACGGCAACAGGCATGTAACCACATGTAACCAGACAACAGGAACGGTAACCAAACCGGTGACCAGAGACAGTATCTGCAGACAATAACAGGCACAGTTACCATATACGACAGCCAGACACGGCAATCGGCACGGTATCCAGAATGGATAACTGGCAACATCAACAGGAACGGAAACCAGGCACGGGGACCAGGTACGGTAACCATGGTAACCAGATACGGAAACCAGACACCTGGGTACACGTGCGCTACGCGATTGATTATTAAATCCATCTTACTCTGGTTGTGGCTGGCACTTCCGAGAACTTGCTTCGCAACGACGGCGGCTGCTACTGCTGCTACAAGGAACTTGAGAGCTCCGTCCATCGCGGATGGCTTTCGCTTATTTATCTGTCATTGCGAATGTGACAGGACGAGGCTTTTGGCAGGAGGCTTATAAAAAGAGTATACTCAAAAGGCGGGAGGAGGAGGAGCCATGATCGGGAATGGGGACAGCTGGTGCAATGATGCACCGCTGTTATGTCGCTTTAGATTCTGCAGCAGAGAGCTACGTGGCGTTGAAACGGAGGGCCAGCGGAAGCAGCATCATCTGGTACTCGCAGGGCGACTTGACGTATGCTGAAGTGAAATTCAACAAGGAATCTCCGCGTTGGATATGTAACCTACACCTGCAGCACACGACACGGAGACAACTGTGTGTTGAATTTCCAAAAATACGTTATCTTTCGTACTACGAGCCACAGCCAAGCTAGCTGCACAGCAGACCAAGTTGCTGCTCATCAAGATCAAGCTACTTGCGCGAGCACTAACAGCTCCATGAAACCAACAAGCTGCTCATCAGGTGCTGTGTTGCTTTCAAGGTACCGAGGACTTCATATGTTGTGTTGGAAGAGCAAGGAACTCTACTCAACCATCCTAGAATAGTAAAACACCGTTCTGGAACGCATATTAACGCACCAAATCGCACAGCTCCCTGGCTATGACCCAATCAGCCACGCAGGCAGGAAGGAATTCAAACCAGGTTCAGCGACACTAGGGCAGGATTGTGCTGGCTTGGGCGAGCTCGTGGTGCCTCACCCGCTGATCAAGCGACGCGACTCATCCAAGCCTGTTCTGTCACACTGAACCTTCTTTCCGAACCCGTTTTGGGTTCTGTGGCGGGAAAATCAGAGGTTGAGAAGGCTTGGGCCAATCAGTGCAACCCAAGAGATTGTCGGAATGCCAAGCCGCATCCATTTCTAAACATTCGCTTTTATGAGCTGACCGGCCTAAGTTCCGGGTGTTTGTAGATTCCGGATTTTGGATAAGGCAATCAGAATCTCCTCTCGGTCCTGTCCTTGCCACACCACAAAAAATAATCAAGGCTGACCGGTCAGAAAATATCACTCAGCATCCCTGCTGGTCCACAGCCACGTCAGCAGCACCGCTTGGTGACGACGAGCATCACACATTGCACGAGCAACGCTTCTTATACATTAAAAACACACTCGTTATCATTTCAGACCTAAGCACTAGCTAATACAAACTAAAGAGTGAGAGACTGCGAAACAAAACCACAATACAGATAATAAGTCAGTTGCGATGACGGGGGGATACGCTGGTTCCCCCTCGACTAATCTGCAATGTCATCTTGAAGTTCCTCATTCAATGTCTCATCCTGCGAGGTAAAGAAATAAACATGGTCATTCACGAATGTGTTCCGATGAAAGGAGCGGGTAAAACCAGCTAGTGCCTATTTCCGGTAAATGCTCCTCTTTCCTCTCACCTCTTCAGTTTTCTTGGACACAAGTCGCTTTTTCTTTGCAGGCTTTGGCGCCTCTTCTTGCTTCTCATCATCATCCTCAGTGTCCCCAACACCCTCCACCCTGGATTGCTGCAAAGGAAATGAATGACACGACTTGTTAGTGCATTATTTCAAGATCACAATCCAAGATACATGTTGACTTGGCAAATCTCCTTACCATGTTGTATTCTTCTAATTGCGCCTCATATGCTTTCTTGCGCTCTGAGGCTCCCTTATTGTACACCTCTTTTTCCTGCAAATTCAGGGAAAGGGGAATTATCAGGAACACTCAGTGCAACAGCAGGTAAGGGTGCATTCGGATGGGAAGACATAAGCTGAACTCCAAGCTAACAGAAATTAGAGAACATAGGTCGCACCTCTTCAGTCAAACTTTTCCATTTGAGACCAGCCGCTTTGCTCATCTGCATGTTTCACACAACAAAAATGCATAAGAGGCGAAAAACATCACAATGAAAGGAACCATGCCATGACAAAATCCCGTGACTATGGCTGCTGAGGGAGAGTAACACACCTCTGTGACGCCCTTCGATTCGGGATGTTCCTCCTTGTATTGCTTCCGAAAACCTTCTCTGCAAATCACGGACCAACACGCTCAAAGACCGCGTCAACCCTTAAATCCCTCAACAGAAGCGCCTAGAGTGGTGACAGACAGCACAGTTACGCGGAGCACGTATGAAATCATCCGTTGCGAGGCTTACATGAGCAAGCCTCAGCCTAAGTTGAACCACGGTGCACGGAATGTTGCAGGAAAGCACGCCTATGAGTATTGGTAACAGGCGAAAATGGCGGGACGTACAAGAACAGGAAGTAGGCGGTTGTTGGCTTCTTGGGAGCGTTGGGGTCTTTTTCGGCTTTCCGCTTCTGCTGCTTCTCCTCCTTGGCGGGCTTTGACTTCTGCTGCTTCTCCTCAGCTTTCTGCTTCCTGTAAGGTAAGAAATCGTAAATTGATCGAGGCCGGCGACACTTAGAACAGAGGCGCAGTGTTGTTCAAACCAGCAAGAAAACAAGTTGAAACTGATGTGGGAAGCCGGAATGATCAACGTACGCAAAAAAACAAAATACTTACTTCGCAGCGGCTTCCTCTGCCATACGCTCTCGAAACTCCAAGCGCAAACGCTCTGCCAAGCATTTGGTAAGAAAGACACGACGATTCAAGTCACCCATGCGTGAGCATCGTGACTGACCAAAATGGTCATGAAAAACACCAACAAGTGAAAGAGGTGACTTCTGAGCAAACTCAGAAGTCGTTAGCATATGAACACGCCACGTGACTCATCAAATCGATCCTTTGAGATAGGCATTGAGGCCGGGCGGCTTGTAACGCAGCGTCGTTCTCGCACGTGTACATGCCCGCCGTGTTGTGAGCCGCGTAAAAAAATAGTATGAATCGAGCCCACGCGAGACCACTCACCGAGGGTGTCTTTGAAAGCTGCGTCGTTATCGCACGAGTGCATGTCCGCCGTGGCAACTGGCACCTTGGAGCTGCACGCTTCGCTGCCGGACCCACAAATTTCCAACCGAATTACCAACAGAAAACGGATTTAACTCAGAATTATACAGAATTGTGTTAACATCAGTTGCGTGTGTAGAATACTGTTACATTACCGCGGATCATAACTCCGGTATGGTATCAGGCTTTACCAGGTGAGAAAGGCGCTGCCGTCAGGAGCTCGACGCATGATTGTTGGTTCGGCGCTCTTAACGCGCTTCTTAGCTCCAGGTCTTGCCATTGCGGCTCTGCTTGAGAGTTAGTCTACTGAAACACTCGTCAATATGCTGAGAAGCTAAAAGGGTTAGTAACTGTTGAGCAACTATGAAGAACCGCTTCTCTGTCAAGCTTCGCGGACGTAGCAGAGCAAATGCAGGGGACTCAGAAAAGGCTTTCGCTAGCGGGAGAATGAGGCGATTGGGGGCGTAATGAGCTTCATGGGAATGTTTTGGATCAGGGAGAAGGGTACAGAAGTAGGCAATTGTCGAGTGGCTTTGCACATGCAGCACCAGCAATGGCATGCAAAGAGAAGTTTGTCGAGGGGGGGTTGTGGTCTGTGTGTCCCCCCTAACAATTTTTAACTCTACACTCTTAAATCATGTGCTTCCTCAAATGATCTTCGCACTTACGTATAAACATCTGGAAATCCTCTGAAGGGAGGATAGGTCTCGAATCCTGTGTTTCGACGAGGAAACTGAGCTTGAGACTGAAATTTCCCAATGACGAGGAAACCCATTGGATGCACCTAGAAGCATCGGAGGGTTTCGGGTAGCCGTACCTGATAAAGAGGCTGCTTGCGCTTCATGCTTTCGCATCAGAACGAGTTGAAGTTTGAATTCGAATGTTCAAGTTCACATTCAAATTCGGGAAAGCATCGGCGCGTCCGCTTTACAGGCTCAAATGTTTGTTTTCAGATTGGACGAACACTCAATCACATCGCTGCAGGCTACATCAGTAATATAATCGCTAGGCAGCTGAGGCCAATATAATTTTAACTCATTTGGCTTGCTATTAGGCCAAATATAAGAAGGTACACAATGAGTTCTATAGCAAGCTATTGTTGGTCCATATCTAGCATAAGTTTGTCCATCTCCCCTGCATTGCTAATTCCTGCTGAAAGCCCAACCCCGAGAGGACTATTCCCAATACTGCCCCCTTGCACTGTCCCTTGCAGGGGAACCATATCAGAAACCCTACCTCCGGACAACGGAGACCCCTTTATTGTCACACTGCCTAGGGTTGGCGTTCCTACACCTTCCTTTCTTAGGTCCGGCGAACCTCCCGCCGAAGGCGGCGGCGGGAGTGGTGGTGGAGTGGCGGTTGGCAGCAGCTTCGGCGTGCCCAGGTTCGGATTCCGGGACGTGATCGGCGTAGGATCGTCGCCATCGCCAGGCTCGGCCGAAGCTCCATACGGCCTCATCCCCCCTCTAGAAGGTGGCGAAACCATCCCCATTTTCTCCATAGCCTCCCGTAGAATCCCCACCTCTGCCATCTGCCCCCGCTGCTCTTTCTCCCGCTCCCGGTCCCGCTCCTCCTGCTGCTGCTCCTGCTGCTGCTTCAACTGTTGGTGGTGATGCGGCTGCTGCTCCAAATCTTCTTCCATCTCCACAAACCCACAACCTTGGGCACTTGAAGATGACAGCGTAAACCCCAGCGGAGCAGACGTGGGGTCATTCGCTTCTGTCGAATCAACCGCTGACGACATATCCGCTGCTGCGGAAAACGCAGCTGCCAGCCTAGCAGCTAAAGACGTCCCGCCAGAGAACGCCACACCCACCGTGCTCCCCACCCCCCCAGCAGCCCCACTGTCTTTCCCTCCACTCTCCAGTTTCCCATCCGCCTTCTCTGTGGAAATAAGCTGCGCTCCTGAGAGGAAAGCATCAGCAGAGTCGACAGCAGCACCCTGAGAGGCGATCCCTGTGGGCCCAGCAGGATGGTCGGAGATGGAAGGGGCCTCGAGGTCTGTCATGTGGTTGCGCTGGCTGCTGCCGCTGGCCGAGCGCCGACACGACTCCATCTCCCTCCCTGGTAGACAGAGTAAGGGAAAACGAGGAGGGGAAGGAGGGGGAAGGAGATGGAAGGGGCTTCAAGGTCTGTCATGTGGTTGCGCTGGCTGCTGCCGCTGGCCGAGCGCCGACACGACTCCATCTCCCTCCCTGGCAGATAGAAAGTTGGGGTGTTGTATGCAATGGACAGTGCACTTTTAAGGAGAATATGGATTGGTTGGGAGGGAGAATGCATTTCATAAGCCACAGTTCAAGAGGTTTCGAATACTGTGAGAAGCAAGCTGAATTTTCACCTGAGGAACTGAATGAGCGTGTGCAGGATGGTCTCACATCCATTAGGACGTCTCAAAACCCATAGAGGTTATTTTCTAGGCGCCTCAAAATTCACCTGAATGTGTGTGTGTGTGCTATATGGTCTCGACTCTCACATGCATTAGGACGTCTCAAAACCCATACAGACATCTTCCTACCGGAGGTCATGAAACTCACCTGATATGCGTGAATTTTTCAAACGTCTATCACGTACCCATACAGACATCTTCCCATCGAGGTCATGAAAACCACGTGATATGAGTGAATTGTTGAGACGTCTAAAAAAATCACTCATATCACGTACCCATAGAGACATCTTACCATCGGAGGTCACGAGAACTCACCTGAGGGACGAAAACCGACCTGGTGGCATGAAAACGCACCTGAGCGAACAAGAACCCATCTGAGAGCACAAAAACACACCTGAGGGCACAGAAACACACCTGAGGGCACAAAAACACTCCTGAGGGCACAGAAACTCACCTGAGGGCACAGAAACTCACCTGAGGGCACAAAAACACACCTGAGGGCACAGAAACACACCTGACGGCACAGAAACACACCTGAGGGCACAGAAACACACCTGAGGGCACGAAGGTGCGCGTGCGGTAGTGGTGAGTCTCCCCTGTACCGTCACTGTAGAGAACATAGTCGTGGTAGGTGGGGGCGAACTGCATAAAGGGTGGGAGAGATGGGAAGGGACGATGCACAGATGAAAGAGTGGAAAGAATCATCCCGCTATGTGGGTCTCCCCTGTACCGTCGCTGTAGAGCACATAGTCATGGTAGGTGGGGGCGAACTGCAGGGGGGATAGAGGAGATGGGAAGGGACGATACATGGGAGAGAGAGCGAAAAGACTCAGCCAGCAATGTGAATCTCCCCCGTGCCATCCCTGTAGAGCACATAGTCATGGTAGGTGGGGGCGAACTGTGCGGGGGATAGGTGGGGGGAGATTACCTCACCTGGTAGCCTTGTTGCAGAGGAACAGTAGCAACTCACCTAGAGAACAGGGTTTTTTCATTCACCTGGTGAACAGTGTCGCTGACAAAGTCTGTGAGGTTGATGGCATGCTTGATGGCAGTGGTAGCTGGTAACCAGGTTACATGATGAACGGTGTCACTGACAGCATCACCTGGTGAACATTGTCGCTGACAAAGTCTGTGTGGTTGATGGCATGCTTAATAGATCTCAGCAGCCCCGCCGGCTTGAAGGTGAAGGCGTGCATGAAGCCATCTGGTAACCAGCCCACTTAGCGAAGTGCTCTCTCACCCACCTGGTGAACAGTGTCACTAACGACATCAGTGAGGTTGATGGCATGCTTGATAGACATCAGCAGCCCTGCCTGCTCGCCGTTCAGGGCCACGTTGGCCTGCAGGAACGGCTTGAAGGGGAAGGCGTGAATGAAGCCCAGCGCCCCCAGCACCATCTCCGCGCAGATGAGCACGTTCTGCAGATCGGCTGCGTCCTCTGCACTGCTGACGTAGCCTAGCTGCGCCACTATGAACACCAGCACGCCCTGGAAGGGAATGGAGGCACAGAGAGAGAGGGGAGGGGAGGGAGGTGTGAGCGTTGGGTCGCAGTGTTGTCTCCCTCAAGAGGGACAGACAGAGGTTGGGGGAGGGAGGGATGCAAGGAAAGCAGCGCAGGCTGGAATTGGCTTGAAGGGGAAGGCGTGAATGAAGCCCAGCGTCCCCAGCACCATCTCCGCGCAGATGAGCACGTTCTGCAGATCGGCTGCGTCCTCTGCACTGCTGACGTAGCCTAGCTGCGCCACTATGAACACCAGCACGCCCTGGAAGGGAATGGAGGCACAGAGAGAGAGGGGAGGGGAGGGAGGTGTGAGCGTTGGGTCGCAGTGTTGTCTCCCTCAAGAGGGACAGACAGAGGTTGGGGGAGGGAGGGATGCAAGGAAAGCAGCGCAGGCTGGAATTGGCTTGAAGGGGAAGGCGTGAATGAATGAAGCCGAGCACCCCCAGCACCATCTCTGCACAGATGAGCACGTTCTGCAGATCGGCTGCGTCCTCTGCACTGCTGACGTAGCCTAGCTGCGCCACTATGAACACCAGCACGCCCTGGAAGGGAATGGAGGCACAGAGAGAGAGGGGAGGGGAGGGAGGTGTGAGCGTTGGGTCGCAGTGTTGTCTCCCTCAAGAGGGACAGACAGAGGTTGGGGGAGGGAGGGATGCAAGGAAAGCAGCGCAGGCTGGAATTGGCTTGAAGGGGAAGGCGTGAATGAAGCCCAGCGCCCCCAGCACCATCTCCGCGCAGATGAGCACGTTCTGCAGATCGGCTGCGTCCTCTGCACTGCTGACGTAGCCTAGCTGCGCCACTATGAACACCAGCACGCCCTGGAAGGGAATGGAGGCACAGAGAGAGAGGGGAGGGGAGGGAGGTGTGAGCGTTGGGTCGCAGTGTTGTCTCCCTCAAGAGGGACAGACAGAGGTTGGGGGAGGGAGGGATGCAAGGAAAGCAGCGCAGGCTGGAATTGGCTTGAAGGGGAAGGCGTGAATGAATGAAGCCGAGCACCCCCAGCACCATCTCTGCACAGATGAGCACGTTCTGCAGATCGGCTGCGTCCTCTGCACTGCTGACGTAGCCTAGCTGCGCCACTATGAACACCAGCACGCCCTGGAAGGGAATGGAGGCACAGAGAGAGAGGGGAGGGGAGGGAGGTGTGAGCGTTGGGTCGCAGTGTTGTCTCCCTCAAGAGGGACAGACAGAGGTTGGGGGAGGGAGGGATGCAAGGAAAGCAGCGCAGGCTGGAATTGGCTTGAAGGGGAAGGCGTGAATGAATGAAGCCGAGCACCCCCAGCACCATCTCCGCGCAGATGAGCACGTTCTGCAGATCGGCTGCGTCCTCTGCACTGCTGACGTAGCCTAGCTGCGCCACTATGAACACCAGCACGCCCTGGAAGGGAATGGAGGCACAGAGAGAGAGGGGAGGGGAGGGAGGTGTGAGCGTTGGGTCGCAGTGTTGTCTCCCTCAAGAGGGACAGACAGAGGTTGGGGGAGGGAGGGATGCAAGGAAAGCAGCGCAGGCTGGAATTGGCTTGAAGGGGAAGGCGTGAATGAATGAAGCCGAGCACCCCCAGCACCATCTCTGCACAGATGAGCACGTTCTGCAGATCGGCTGCGTCCTCTGCACTGCTGACGTAGCCTAGCTGCGCCACTATGAACACCAGCACGCCCTGGAAGGGAATGGAGGCACAGAGAGAGAGGGGAGGGGAGGGAGGTGTGAGCGTTGGGTCGCAGTGTTGTCTCCCTCAAGAGGGACAGACAGAGGTTGGGGGAGGGAGGGATGCAAGGAAAGCAGCGCAGGCTGGAATTGGCTTGAAGGGGAAGGCGTGAATGAATGAAGCCGAGCACCCCCAGCACCATCTCTGCACAGATGAGCACGTTCTGCAGGTGAAGCGTGGCCAAGGGATAGGGAGCAAGGGAAGCGTGACAGGGAGGGCTTGAAGGGGAAGGCGTGAATGAAGCCCAGCGCCCCCAGCACCATCTCCGCGCAGATGAGCACGTTCTGCAGATCGGCTGCGTCCTCTGCACTGCTGACGTAGCCTAGCTGCGCCACTATGAACACCAGCACGCCCTGGAAGGGAATGGAGGCACAGAGAGAGAGGGGAGGGGAGGGAGGTGTGAGCGTTGGGTCGCAGTGTTGTCTCCCTCAAGAGGGACAGACAGAGGTTGGGGGAGGGAGGGATGCAAGGAAAGCAGCGCAGGCTGGAATTGGCTTGAAGGGGAAGGCGTGAATGAATGAAGCCGAGCACCCCCAGCACCATCTCTGCACAGATGAGCACGTTCTGCAGATCGGCTGCGTCCTCTGCACTGCTGACGTAGCCTAGCTGCGCCACTATGAACACCAGCACGCCCTGGAAGGGAATGGAGGCACAGAGAGAGAGGGGAGGGGAGGGAGGTGTGAGCGTTGGGTCGCAGTGTTGTCTCCCTCAAGAGGGACAGACAGAGGTTGGGGGAGGGAGGGATGCAAGGAAAGCAGCGCAGGCTGGAATTGGCTTGAAGGGGAAGGCGTGAATGAATGAAGCCGAGCACCCCCAGCACCATCTCCGCGCAGATGAGCACGTTCTGCAGATCGGCTGCGTCCTCTGCACTGCTGACGTAGCCTAGCTGCGCCACTATGAACACCAGCACGCCCTGGAAGGGAATGGAGGCACAGAGAGAGAGGGGAGGGGAGGGAGGTGTGAGCGTTGGGTCGCAGTGTTGTCTCCCTCAAGAGGGACAGACAGAGGTTGGGGGAGGGAGGGATGCAAGGAAAGCAGCGCAGGCTGGAATTGGCTTGAAGGGGAAGGCGTGAATGAATGAAGCCGAGCACCCCCAGCACCATCTCTGCACAGATGAGCACGTTCTGCAGATCGGCTGCGTCCTCTGCACTGCTGACGTAGCCTAGCTGCGCCACTATGAACACCAGCACGCCCTGGAAGGGAATGGAGGCACAGAGAGAGAGGGGAGGGGAGGGAGGTGTGAGCGTTGGGTCGCAGTGTTGTCTCCCTCAAGAGGGACAGACAGAGGTTGGGGGAGGGAGGGATGCAAGGAAAGCAGCGCAGGCTGGAATTGGCTTGAAGGGGAAGGCGTGAATGAATGAAGCCGAGCACCCCCAGCACCATCTCTGCACAGATGAGCACGTTCTGCAGGTGAAGCGTGGCCAAGGGATAGGGAGCAAGGGAAGCGTGACAGGGAGGGCTTGAAGGGGAAGGCGTGAATGAAGCCCAGCGCCCCCAGCACCATCTCCGCACAGATCAACACGTTTTGTAGATCTGCTGCGTCTTCTGCACTGCTGACGTAGCCCAGTTGCGCCACGATGAAGACCAACACGCCCTGGGGGAGGGAAGGAAGAGAGTAGAACTGAGGGATGACAGGGGAAGAACTGACTGGCACGTTCTGCAGATCGGCTGCATCTGCAGATCGGCTCACATACCCTAATTGCGCCACTATGAACACCGGCACGCCCTACAGGGAGTGAGGGGAGGGGGGCAGGGGGAGAAAGGGGAGTGCAGATGAGCACGTTCTGCTGCTGCTGCTGTGCCACTATGAAGACCGGCACGCCCTGCAGGGAATCGAGAGCAGAGGGATGGGATGGGATGGGATGGACTGGGAGGTGTGTGTGAGTGTTGTGTTCCAGTGTTGTCCCTCACGGGACAGGCAGAGGGGAGGAAAGACATGGCCTTGATCATCAGAGACTTTGGAACTGGGTTGACGGAGCTGGTTATGCTAGTGGCAGCTCGTGGCACACATTCTACAAGTGGCGATCGTGGCTCTACCCTTGCTACGAGCTGCCACTAGCATAACCCCACTGCTACCTACCACCAGCAACCACACCGGACCCATTCTCACCTGCCAGTAGGTGAGGAAAACCACTGCCTTGATCATCAGAAACTTGGGCACTGGATTAAAAGAGCGCAGGAGCTCCCGGCACGCGACGTAGAAGAGAATAAGTGCGTAAATCGCCACGGAATAGGAGGCCATGTAGATGCATGTGATGTAGATGTAGCCGTCTGAGAGGGCGAAGTTGCCGTCTTGATAGAGCCCGTAGGAGTAGAGGCACAGGCAGGTGGCCGCCAGGATGGGCTTTAAGTACACGAACTGCAGACAGCCCTGCTTGCACCTCCGGATGAACCGGCTGTCATTGAAAGGGGGGGTGGGGAGGGGGAGGGAAGAGGGAGAGGGAGGGATGAGGGAGGGATACATGACAAGGATGACGAGAGGCTTTAAGTACACGAACTGCAGACAGCCCTGCTTGCACCTCCGGATGAAGCGACTGACGGGGGGAGGCGGAGGGGGATGGGGAAGGGATGAGGGAGGAATGTCAAGAATGAGCTTTCAATACAAAACTCCACCGCCGCATGAGCCGCCTGGAAGCGGGAGTGGGAGGGGATGGAGGGCGAAGGTGGGGGTGGTTGCAAAGAAGGGGTATGGTGAGAGAAAAGAAGGGCTACAGCTACACAAAATGCAGGCCTGGAAAACTTCAGTATTCCAGAGATCAGCAGGCATTGTTTTAGAATTGTCGAATGCAGACAGGTGGGCTGCGGAGGTCTTACGTCCATCAACTCTTATGGTTAATAAAACGACGAGACAAACCCCATGGGAATTCCAACTTCAGTATTCCAGAGATCAGCAGGCATTGTTTTGAGAATTCTTAAAGAATCCCGGAAAACTTCAGTGTTGCAGAGAGCAGAAGGCCCGGCCCTGAGAGCAGCACATTCCGACGTCACGTCACACCAGAATTCATGCGTCCAGGGGAATGGGCAGAAAGCAGCAGGTCATGAGCAGGTAGGACGGCTTGAGCAGTCGCCTTGTGAGACTCGTCAGTATAGACGTGCCTCTTTAACACACCCCACTCATGGTACTGATCACCCCCAGCAGTGCTCACCCGTCGAGGGGGATGGGCGGGAAGCAGCAGGTCATGAGCAGGTAGGAGGGTTTGAGCAGACGGCCTGTGAGACTCGTCACCACGGCGCCCGGCCCGCCCACCCAGGAGAGGCAGAGGGAGAGGAAGTTGTAAATCACCCACGCCTCGTAGCTGTTGAGGGGAAGGGGGGGAAAGGGGGGAGAGAAGGGCGGGGGTGAACACCACGGCGCGAGGGCAGCCCACCCAGGAGAGGCAGAGAGAGGAAATTGTAAATCACCCACGCCTCGTAGCTGTTGAAAAAGGAGGGGGACGAGTGGGGAGGGGGGGTGGGGGGGAAGAGCGAGTCAGCAGACCATGGCGCCCGGCCCGCCCACCCAGGAGAGGCAGAGCGAGAGGAAGTTGTAGATCACCCACGCCTCGTAGCTGAGTATGCAGTCCACACGAAGACCCACACTCACACCAACGCAACTCGGGTTGCGGTTCCCGCACTGTATTGAAAAGGTTCCAAGACCTTATCAGCACATCACCACACATAGAGCACATGCAGTCCACATGAAGACCCACACTCACACCAACGCAACTCGGGTTGCGATTCCCGCACTGTATTGAAAAGGTTCCATGACCTTATCACACCACATCACGATACATAGAGCACATGCAGTCCCCACGAAGACGACACTCACACAGCATTAACACCACGCTCGCACCATACTCACACGTCGCGTATCGTGTTGAAGTACATGGCGTAGTCGCTCATAACGAGAGCGCCGAATGACATTGTCGCGTACACCTGGCGCAAGGCAGAAACAAACAACCCAGGAATACGAATAAAGACTTGCCAATCTCCCAAATGTTTTCAGAGATTCGTAAAACTCGGCGTACGCTGGGTTTGGAAAATTTGACAACGAGATTCTTCCGAAACGTTCAGTTGAAGCGACGCCGCAGCGCGAGCGTACGTACGGGAACCATGAAGATGATCCGGACGATGTAACGCTGGTACGTGGGTTCGGTGTAGTTGCGGAGGTGCATGACGATGTGGCGTACGGAGAGAAACACGGCGAGCACCGTGCATACCAGCGACACCACCACCGCCGCCGTGCCTGAAAACGCGTGCTCCGGAGGCGGCGGCGGCACCCACGCGCTAAAGTCGATTCCGAACATCTTGGAGCGTGGAGATTAAAGTGACCTGGTTTTTGTGGCTGGATCAGGGACAAAGGGACAAGGGATCACGAGTCCATTGGGTGTAGATTGCCGTTTGGCACTAGATTCAGGTGGTGTGGAGATACAAGCCCTCGTTTAGGAACTAGGTCCGGTGGTGCGTAGATTGGATTACAGCGTGACTTCAACCGCGGAGTAATGGCTGCGGAACGCTGTCAACCCATTCCGAACGAGCCGCGCAATTAGCAGCTTAAAGCAGAAACGATCCGAGGTATGACAGCCCTAGCTACGGAAACGCGGTTTGCGAACGTCCAGACCAATCTATAGGACAAAATACACGGCGGCACTAAACCAATAACTACCGATCGAAGAGCGCTGCGGCGACTGCCAAAGGTTGGTGACCAACGACAACAGTGTCGGGAGGATCATAATCTAGGAACCAATAGTACCTAGCAACGGGCTGCTACTACGATCCAACAAAAATGGCGGGCTGGGGAGGGGAGAAAGTTGGGGAGGAGGATCTGATGCTTTCGCGACGTCCGGTTACCGCTCGAGAATATGTCGTCACGCTCGGGCGAACTCCAGTTCCAATAGCACATCTCAAAGCGAACGGTTGTGAGGTGACAGAGTTTTGGCGGGAAAATACCACGTGGGTTCAGCCGTGTGACAGAAGCGAGGGAGTCAGGCGAGACATTGCAGAAATATGTCAACAGAATGGCGACACTTAGGCGCGTTTCCTCTTGCTTGGGGTATGTTCATATTGTAGAGCATTACGCATACAGTAAATCCTACCGCACAGAAAGACAAAGCAGCTTTTGTCGGGGTTATAAGAGACAGGGCGTGGAACTCGAGAGCGGCTCTGAACATGATCTGAAACCCAAAGCAATACCACGGTTGTCGAAAAAAAAACTCTTTGCCTGTGACGACGTTCGCAGCAGCATCAATCTGGCTGCGCTTTCTGTCAAGGTGCACTTCACGTGACACGCCCTTAGCGAAACTAGGGTCAGCCTCGGAATGGATGTATTTGCCACCTGATCATGCTTCTGCAACACCAGTCGAAGTTGCAAGTCGGCTATGAAGAGACTTCTTACTTTAGTAAGCAAATGTGATCAAATTAGCATTCTTCGTCAGATCGAGCCTGAAACAATCTGAGGTCCCTGGGTCGGATCGGATCGGTACTCGGCCAGTCAGTGACCACGATACGGGTCTCGCATTGCACTGAAAGACTTGTTTTTCGTTTGCTGGGTCGCAATGGGGGAGCAAGCGACGGTTCCGCGTCGCATCACGCACGTCATCTTCGACATGGACGGCCTCATTCTCGGTGAGTCGACGCGTAGCAGCGGCTCATAACGGCTCCCAACGGCTCATAAAGGCTCATACCATGAGCCTCGAGTCGCATCACGGACGTCGTCTTCGACATGGACGTCCTCATTCTCGGTGAGCTGAAGCCCAGCTCGGAATGGCTCATACCATGGGCCTCGACGCAGCTTATAACGGGGGTTCGACATGGACGGCCTCATTCTCGGTGAGCTGAACCGTGAGGTCTCCAGGCCAGGCGGAACGCACAAGTGAGCTCGAGTCTCCCCGCCCCCCTGTTCCCTCCCCAAAGACACCGAGGATCTGTACACGGTAGGCCCAGCAGCGCGATCGCGCCCCCTGTCCCCCCTCTCACCATTTCCCTCCCTCCGTCCGCACCCCCCTCCCGCAGACACCGAGGGTCTGTACACGGTAGCGCAGCAGCGCATTCTCTCACGGTTCAATCGCGAGTTCACGTGGGCGCTCAAGGTCAAGATGATGGGCAAGAAGGCAGCAGAGGCGGCTCCATTCCCCATCAAACCACTGCCAGACTCACTCTTTTCTCCTCCCCTGCCTCTCCCCCTTGTCCCTCCCATCCCATCCTATTCCGCATGCCTCTCCTCTTTCCTCTCCCCCAGACACCGAGGGTCTGTACACGGTAGCGCAGCAGCGCATTCTCTCGCGGTTCAACCGCGAGTTCACGTGGGCGCTCAAGGTCAAGATGATGGGCAAGAAGGCAGCAGAGGCGGCAAAGGTGGTGATCGAGGAGCTGGGGCTGGAAGGGGAGATGAGCGCCGAGGAGTTTCTGAGGGAGAGAGAGAATCTTCTGAGGGAGGAATTTCCCCACTGCAAGCTGCTGCCAGGTAGGCAGAGCGGTTGGAAGTGGTCAAAAGCGGTTGAGAGTGGTTGAGAGCGGTGGAGAGCGGTGAAGGGTGGTTGAGGCAGCAAAGCTGGTGATAGAGGAGCTGGGGCTGCAGGGGGAGATGAGCGCCGAGGAGTTTCTGAGGGAGAGGGAGAATCTTCTGAGGGAGGAGTTCCCACACTGCAAGCTGCTGCCAGGTAGGGAGGGCGGTTGAGAGCGGTTGAGAGTGGCTGAGAGCGGTTGAGGGCGGCTGGAGCAGTTGAGAGCGGTTGAGAGTGGTTGAGAGTGGTTGAGAGTTGCTGAGAGAAGTTGACAGCAGTAGTTTGGACAAGTTGACTCTGCGCGGCATGGGAGACCCCTTGCGCCCCAAGTCTTCTCTCATGCCTCCTTATATTCATCAAACCCTTGAAGCATTACCTTGAACTCCCAACCACTCTCCCAAACCTCTCTCCCAACCTACTTTCGTAACCTCTCTCGCTCTACTTTTCCATCATCGTGTTTGTTGTCAGGAGCGGAGCGGTTGATTCGGCATCTGCATGCGCACAACATTCCCATGGCCATTGGCACTGGGTGAGTGAGTGAGTGGATGAGTGAGTGCGTGAGTGAGTGAGTGAGTGCGTGCATGCGCACAACATTCCCATGGCCATTGGTACTGGGTGAGTGAGTGAGTGAGTGAGTGAGTGGGTGAGTGAGTGAGTGAGTGAAAGTGAGTGGGTGAGTGAGTGAGTGAGTGAGTGAAAGTGAGTGGGTGAGTGAGTGAGTGAGTGAGTGAGTGAGTGAGAGAGTGAGTGAGTGAGTGGGTGAGTGAGTGAGTGAGTGAGTGAGTGAGTGAGTGAGTGAGTGAGTGAGTGGGTGGGTGAGTGAGTGAGTGAGTGAGTGAGTGGGTGGAAGAGTGAGTGAGTGAGTGAGTGGGTGGTTGAGCGAGTGAGTGTCTGCGCACAACATTCCCCTGGCCATTGGGGGGGACACCGGTTGACAATTTTTCATTTCCTTTTGACAATACTCTAATGCCTTGTCTCTCCACTCGAGACGTGCAACCACGGGGCCCTCTTCGCTCGCATGCACCAGTGTGTGCTCGGGGATGATTTCGAGGTGCTCCACATGTCTCCTTTCCCCCTCTTTCCACCCACTCTCCTACCACCAGCTCCCACAAGATCCACTTCGGGCTCAAGATGACCAACCACACGGCCCTCTTCTTTCTCATGCGTCGCTCTGTGCTCGGGGATGATCCCGAGGTTGTCCGCGTGTCTCTATCCCCCCTCTCTCCTACCACCAGCTCCCACAAAATTCACTTCGGGCTCAAGACGACCAGCCACACGGCCCACTTCTCTCTTATGCGTCGCTCTGTGCTCGGGGATGATCCCGAGGTGCTCTCCGTGTCTCCCTCCCCTCCTTACTTCGTATCCTCCTGCCACTGTCACCGCCCCACCACCAGCTCCCATAAGATTCACTTTGGACTCAAGACAACCAACCACACGGCCCTCTTCGCTCTCATGCGTCACTCTGTGCTCGGAGGTGATCCCGAGGTTCCCAAATGTCTCTTCTCCCCCTCATTCCCGCCCCTCCCCCTCCTGCTGCTGCTGCTGTTGCCACCCACCAACAGCTCTCACAAGATTCACTTTGGACTTAAGACGGCCAACCACACGGAACTCTTCGCCCTCATGTGTCACTCTGTGCTCGGGGATGATCCCGAGGTTGTCCTCGTGTCTCTATCCCCTCATTTCCCCCTTCTCTCCTACCACCACACCAGCTCCCACAAGATCCACTTTGGACTCAAGACGGCCAACCACACGGCCCTCTTCTCTCTCATGCGGCACTCTGTGCTCGGGGATGATCCCGAGGTTGTCCATGGCAAGCCCGCTCCGGACGTCTTCAGAGTGGCAGCTGCTAGATTCGATGTGAGTACTACAACTGTGATCTGAGAGTGAAATAATATATCAATTTAATTTTAATAAAAAATACAGTGGTTGTACGTATCTGGAGAGTAGTTGAGTGAGGATAATGCACAATCTGGCTGGCCTGCGCTGCAATTTCCGGAGGGTGAATGAGTCATAAACTAAATGCCTCCAATGCAAAACCACAATCTGTCGGGTCGGATGCCTCTCATAAGGTCCACATTTGACCTGACAGCTAGTGTCTAACCACACTGATTCGGGAAATATTGTCTCCGAATTCCTTCACCGCAATCTCCCCCACTCCTTACCTCCCTCCCTCCCTCACACCCATACCCCTCTCTATCCCTGTCTACAACTGTCTACCGCACCCTGTTCTTCCATTAGCCCCCACCGTCACCAGACAACGTGCTTGTATTTGAGGATGCTCCACTGGGCGTTGATGCTGCCAGGAATGCTGGAATGTGAGTGTACCTGTACCTGTACCCAGTATCACGCACTGTACACTATATGCATATTTTGACCCCCTTTTGTTTTAACGGTAGTCTGAAACGGAAAAAAAGGGTTCCTGCTTGCGTTTTTTTCTACTCACTTCTTTCTTTTTTCCCTGTTTATAGGTGGGTGGTGATGGTGCCAGATCCAAATGTGGATGCTGCTCTCTGCACTAACGCTTCACTCGTTCTTCCATCATTGTTGAACTTAGATCCTGTCCCATGGGGCTTGCCTCCATTTCCAGCACAAGTGTCTGAAACCTAGGAAATAAACTCATTATATGGTTTAACCGTTTTCTTATATTGATCAGTATTTTCCTCAGTCCGCACTTTCTTTTATTGCGCCCATTTGTGTGACTGGGGGTATTGAGAAGGAACCTAATGCGGTCTTAATAACTATACTGGTCACTAATTTATATCTAGACATTCTTATGCTTACCTTATAACAAGCATCGAAGTTGC